GAAATGTTAACCCATTATCTCATTGTGGATTTTTGGAGCTTTACAGGCTGCCGTACTATTTATATATGCATCGGGATGGTCCTAGCATGCTCGGTTTTGTTTTTATGGGAGGATGTCGGGTGTTCCCTGGGTGAGTCCCTGTTTTGCTTAACTTCGTTTGCATTGAAGGACATTGTGTTTTCTGGGTGAGCCCCAGTTTTACTTAACTTCGTTTGCATTGAAGGACATTGTGTTTTCTGGGTGAGTCCCAGTTTTGCTTAACTTCGCTTGCATTGGAGAATACTCTGGTGGAGAGTGCGAAATGTTGCTTTATTTCATTCACTGGAGAATGCTGTACATGCTCGTTTCATACATATACTAGAGGAGTTTTCATGTATCTAGTCCCCTCATCGTTCGGCCTGGAGAAGCAATCTGCAGGCGGGGCGATGAATTATACTTTGAACTTCGAGACGTCCTCTTCGTCGCCTCGACAAAAGGGCATGACTCGAGGGGCGACCTCTTTCGGAAGTCGAAGTATTTGATGTGGGTGATATTCCAATCATTTTGTAGTAGTTTCCTTTCCATTGTCTCTAGTTGGAATGCTCCTTTGCTTGCTTGCCCGTGTGAGCGCTTGCATTCACATCTATTTGAACCGATAAAGGAGTGAAGATAAATCAGAATGAAATTTTCTGTTACCTCGGTCTGACGCGCCGGTGAAAGAAAAATTGACGTTGTAGTGTTACTCGCTCCGCCTGGTTCTCGGATGGCGTATTCAGATTTGGCTGTCGTATTCGGCTTCGTGTTACCAGCGCCTAGGTTCCGCATGGGTTGGATCCGCCTCATTCGCTGATGGGACGAAACCGAGTCCCGGCCCGATCTCATCCAATTAGTGCCAATAACGAGAGAAACATGTCATACTTCGTTCATAGACCATCTAGTGAATGTGGGAATGAGAAAACAGGATAAGGTGTGCCCTTTCTTTCAGAAGACCACGCAACAAGTTGCTGTCCCTTCACGAGGGATGGGAGTACGGGCCCATATGTAGGGTGACAAAACGGGCTGTGGTTACCTAGGTGACCGAGATCCTATTTTGGACGTGCGTTCGTGGTGTCAAACCTACTGCTACAGGCAAGAAGTGGGGTTTGCATAGATATTGGTTATAACTTCTACTTTAGGTAGCGTATTGACCTATATTGGTACGGTTGTCTCGAAGGCTCACATACCGCTCTTTCGAGTGGGTGGCAGCGCCGAGAAGGTGAGGCCATGACAGCCTGGTAGCAATATTCCGCTGATTCTGGATCTAAAGGAAACTAACAAATTTGGCTAAGAAATTCCCATAGACGGCGCCAAATTGTTTGACCAAAAAGTATTAAACTTTTTTTAAAACTAATTAATGAATGGAATAGAGGATAAATATTAGCCAAAAGTAATTAACTCTAGATCGCGACATGAGAATCGGGAGAGAATAAACTAATTTAATATTTCTTGAGATAGCTATCTTACATTCAATGAGAACGATAAGCTTACATTCGTGACTAGCTTGAGTTACAGTGGTGTCTGAGCAAAAAATGTGAAACCCTTTTTGTCGAACTAATTAATAGTAATATAGAAGGTAAATCTTGGCCAAACATAATTAACCCAAGATCTGAATGTATAGAGCGCGAAGATAGAAGCAGAATAAGAGCATGTAATATTTCTTAATGTAATAAAATGTACATCAAACATAGGGGATGAGCTTACATCTGTGACAGATCTGCACCATGATCGTGGGGGCAAGGAAGGGGAAGAGAAAGAACTGTTGACAACGAAGAGGTTTCTCTTGTTGACTACCATAGTGGCTGCCTGGAGCCAAAATTTTTTTTCCTCTCTGGGTTCAGCCCCTCCTATATATATATATATATATTAAATTTTCCTTTTGTCCAGTGGTCTTTGACCGGCGTACCTTCTGACGACTGTACACTTCATTATTTGTTTGATCATAACGTTGTCCTATGGTGTAAACCTTTCGACGTTTTGGCACCGGCAATGGCCGAGGTACTCTTTGCTGCCTCGCCCCGCGGACATGATTACAGCTTGGCCGACCCCTTATCACTCCACTTAAGGACAACCATTCCCAGTCAGATTTTGACCCATACAACTAGTTTTTGGGTGAAATTTTTCTTCGACTTAGAAAATTTTAATTTTTTTTCAAGTTAAATGCATCTTTAAACACAACTTATTTTAAAAATTCCCTTTGTCAAGTGTCAACCATATATATGTTCAAACACTAGCTAAAAGTCTAAAACAACCAAGTAATTACTAGTACTAGCTAATCTCTTATACAATGAGTGTGTTTTTAACCAATCAAATAACTTGTCTTGTTTATCAAATTAGTAATTTCAAATAATATAATTGATTATATGTAATTTTCTTTTAAGTGATCTTTTATGATTTATAATCATCCGATATTTGAACTCACTTACTTGAACGAAGCGCATAATAGCCACTTTTAGGAAAACTAATTAGTCGAAGTTTATAAAATATTTAAAGTTTAACCGCCTCAAAATCAAATATCAGGCCTCGGGTTTGAAGTTTGAATTCAAACCTCAAACTAAAGGTCTAAAGTTAGGCATTGTCCTCAATTTTTCACCAATTTCTTGGTTTAATTTTTTTGTTCTTTTATAAGCATTGAACACGCATTCCAGAAACATTAAACATCTAATAATACGAAACTCCCTAAGCATTCCTAAATAAAAAGATTTGATGAATTTAAAGTAGAAGAAGAAAATTTTCAAGAAGAGGAGGAAGATGAATTTGTAGCAGCAATAATGGTCTGAAATTTATCTAGTTTGGCTAAATTTTAAATAATTTTTAAGAACCGGATATATTTTAAAAATATCCTTATATTATAATCAGCTACTCGATTAATGTAGATTTCGCATCGCTGCATCGCTAAGGTCCATTTAATGGGTAAACGCTTTCTACCAGAAAACAAAACTTTAATTCTCATGACTTGATCCTGAATTAATCTTTGATTAATGGCAGAAAAATCCCATCTATTCACTAAATCCCTTATGAGGTCATTCGGCAGGGTGTATAAGAATATCAATAAAGTGTATTAATAATATTGGAATCAGTAATTTTATGATTAATTATGCTAGAATTATTTCTTATCGATTGGTTTGTGAATTAAAAATAATATGCGTCGCATATTTTTTTTAAAAAAGTTTTATTTGCTTACGAATATACCCTCTAAAAACGTTTGAAAGAATTTGGAAAAGGTTTTGAAAGGATAGTTCTGTCTTTATACATGCTTATCCATATATTAAAAATGGTGGTATTGTTAATGCCATAGTTTGTTATCAGAGACGGAGCTACAGTGTCGGTTACGGGTTCGGCCCGAACCCAACTGCTTTGGTTCAAATCATGGATTTCTCTTGCAATTTTCATTAAATATGAACAAATTATTAACTTAGAAGCCAATAACTTAAAAGGGTTACGATCCCGAACCCATAAGTTTGAAATCGTGGCTCCGCCTATGTTTGTTATGTATAAGAATAGTATTTAATATGGTATATAACTCAATGTATTAGTTATACATATAGGGGTCGTTTGGTTGGAATATGATGTACACCGGTATAAGTTATGCCGGTGTAAGTTATATTGGGATAAGCTATGCTGTGATTGTTGTTTATTTATTCTTTGGTATGTTGTATTAAGAATGACAATTGCATAATTTCTAAGAAGAAGGTATAAGTTATACCGGTGTTAATTCCCCCACCTTTTATAAGGTATAAGTTATCCCAGTGTTAAAATTATAACACCGGGATAACTTATACCTGATTTACTAACCAAATAGAGTATTAAGGTGGTATTAAATTTTTATACCACCCTTATACCTTCGTATACCCCATACCAAACGACCCCATAATGTATTAGTTATACATAAGTTGAAAAATACAACTAAACAAAGGAGTAATAATACCAAAGTTAATACATGTATTAAAAAAAATTGCTCGGTACACTAAGCTCTCGCTATGCGGGAGGTCTGGGGGCCAGACTATAAGGGTCTATTGTACGCAGCCTTGCCCTGCATTTCTGCAAGAAGTTGTTTCTACGACTCGAACCCGTGACCTCTTGAACACATGACAACAACTTTACGAGTTACGCCAAGGCTAACTTCAGTTAATACATATATTATTTTCCCTAATAGATCCTACCAAACTATCCCTAAAAGTTTTACATTATCTATATATATATACATAAATATAAAAGTTAAACAAGGATAGAGTGTATTTAGATTGAGCTAGAAGTTTGACTAGTTTGAATTGGAGTATATAGCTGGAGAGAAGAAGAGGGTTGGGGTGGGGGGGTTGTGACAAAGCTTCATTTTCACCATTGATGTGTCTTAGACCCCTGTACCAAAACCAGGTTAGCAGCTATCAACCCCATATGCTTCTTTCATGTCAGCATCGAGTGAGACAGCCTAAAACCCTACCTCCACCCATGCACCCCCCCCCCCCCCCCATATGACAAGATTGATAAAAATTAAGGGATAAAATCCCAAGAAAAAATATTTGGAAAATTCTGACTCACTTTCACACGTGCAAGTGACATATTTTTGACTTTTCCATTTCCTTTTTTTTAAAAATAATAAAATTCTTTTAAAATTATGAGAGTTGTGTCAATAATTGCTGAGTATTTGCTATGTGTGTTTATCTAACAATTTAAGGTATTATTCAAAGTATATTATATTTTTAATAAAATATTTTTTAGCCCGTTTTCCATATAATCTAGATAAAACTAAATAATATATAATGTTCACTTATGACTAAAATAGACAAATCAAACGTTTTAATTTTACTTATTTTAGACATGCTGCAGTAATAATGCTCTAGCTAGGCATTAAAAAAAACGTACTATTTCTTCAAGTAAAGCCTTTGATGAGTTTATATAAAGAGTAGGGTAACTTTTTGGGATCAGTTAGCATCAGGTTTGTTATGTGTTTCTCTTGTCAAAACACACACACACACACTAAGTGGGCGTGTGATATGAGTTGGGATTGAGGATTTTCTGTTAGAAAACAAGAACACTTTTGCTGTTTCTCTTTTCTTGCTACAAACAGTTTTATTCTTCAATAAAAAAATGTTGTCAAGATCAAAGCTTTAGCACAAAATCTTATGTCATTATCATCATCAACTTCTTCTTCTTCTTCTTCTCCTATGAGTTCTACTTCAATGGGGATGTGTTTTGCTGATATGAATTCACTTTCCATTACTCCAAAACATGATAATGAGAGTACTAAAACAAGGGGTTCTTGGGATTTTCAGTTCTTGAATAAAGAAGCTTTTTCTCAGAGTTTAGATGAAGCAGAAACTAGTGAAGAAAATAATGAAACCATTGATCTAAATGCTTCTTGTTTCAATGATGAGAAACCAATTACCATGCATAGTAGTACTATTTTTAACAGTAGTAGTAGTAATATTGGCAAGGAAATTACAGAGAGTGGACAGTCAAAACTTTGTGCTAGAGGTCATTGGAGACCTGCTGAAGATGCAAAACTCAAAGAACTTGTTGCTATTTATGGCCCTCAGAATTGGAATCTTATAGCAGAAAAACTAGAAGGAAGATCAGGTAAAAAATTCAAGATTCTTTGCCCTTTGTTTTTTTTACTCCCTCCCTTTCAATGTTTTTGAGCCAAATGTCTACCGGAAACAAAGTTTTGCGTACACATTACCCTCCGCAGACCCTATTTGTGAGATTTTAGTGGATTTGCTGTTGTTATTGTCCTTTGTTTTTTAATGTTTGGTTTGTTGTGAATGTGAAGGGAAAAGTTGTAGATTAAGATGGTTTAATCAGTTGGATCCAAGAATCAACAGAAGAGCATTTACAGAAGAGGAAGAGGAAAGACTAATGGCAGCACATAGATTGTACGGTAATAAATGGGCTATGATTGCAAGGCTATTTCCAGGAAGAACAGATAATGCAGTGAAAAACCATTGGCATGTAATAATGGCTAGAAAATATAGAGAACAATCAAGTGCTTACAGAAGGAGAAAAATGGGCCAATTTGTTTACAGAAGAACAACAGTGGAAGAAGATTCAAATTCAAGCTTATTTGTCAGTAGTAGTAAAGAAGTTGCAGAAGTAGCCATGAATGGAGAAACACAAACACCAATTATCAGTGTTGGCCAAAATTCTGCAAACCCTTTTGGCAGTTTGAAAATTAATAATGATGGTCCAAATGGTTGGGTTGTTTATGGACCAAATGGTTCACCCCACATGGCTGCTTCTGTTGGAGAAGCAATTCCTAGCACTAAAACCAATGTCCCTCTCCTTTCTCCTTACTCACCATTTTTTGCTCCCTTTGACACTTTACCTGGTATGTTTCTTTCACTTTTAACCATTGTTTCATAGCTTAAAGTTACTCTTATGTCTCTTTTTCTAGTTTCTTTTCTTTACCACTTTTTCCATTGGGACAATATTTTTGGTTAGAATTTAAAGAATGAAAGCAAAAGTAATATTAAAGTTCGAAAATGTGTTTGGACATGAATTTCATGCAATAAGAGTTAGTTGTGTGAAATTCTTGACATTATACCACTTGTAAAACAAACATTGATTTACTAATAATGTTTCATTATTTTCTAATAATATGTTTCTCTACTAGCAAAAGTGAATTACTTTTAAATGGTTAGTATGATTCTTGATTTCTTGTTTTGTGAAGGTCATTGTGGAAATGAGGAGATGAATATTCTAAACCAGCAAGGTAGATCTTGGGAAAGGCAAAGGGAAGCATCAAATATATCCCACAACATAATTAGTCATCACCACCACTCTCTTCATCCATCTAATTCATTGATGATGTTGAATAGTATGCAACAACAGTCACAATGTTTGCAGTTTCCTTATTCCAACTTCGCAAATGTCACAACAGCAAGAGCACAAATTCCATCACAAGTAATAGTAAAAGAGGACAGAAGAAGCAGCAGCAGTGATAATAGCCAGTGTGATGCAATTGCACCACCCCCTCCATTTATAGACTTTCTTGGAGTAGGAGCCACTTGAAATTATGTTTAGTTTTAAGAAAGCTGAAAATGGTTGTTGAAAAAACACCAAAAAAAAAAAAAAAAAAAGGTCCCCCATTTGAGTCCTATGAAATGGTAACAGTATTAGCATGTAACCAGTAGTAGTTGTATTGGGAGGTTTCTTTCAGTTATATTATGTCAATGTGACACAGAAATATCAAAAAGGATAAAAAGTCCTAAGGAAGTCTCTATTGTCTATAAAACTCCAGCTTGCAAAACTGTTAACAGCGGTGAGTCCTGTCGTAATTGGTAAAGTTGCTATAACTAGGGTTTGAACCGTGAAAACATCTTCTCACAAAATATACATGACAAAACTGCGTATAATAGACCTTTGTGATCAAGGGCGAAGGTACATAGCCTCCTTCGTTGAAAACTTACACTGTATATATAGGTAAAATATTAAATTTTAAAGGTATATAATATATATTGAATACCCTTTATGGAAGTTTTTTTTTTGACTTATTTCAAGTTTAAACACCTTAAAATGAAATTCTTGGCTTCGTCAATACTTGTGGTCCGGCCCTTTTTCGAATTCCGTACATAGCAGAAGCTTAATGCACCGAACTGTTTTTTTTTTTGTTTGTGCAGACCTGTTAACAAGAAGGTGTTGTCATCTCTTACTTTAATTTTAATTCCATCATATGATGAAATAGTGTTAAACTGTGTGACAACAGTGAAGTTCATAATTTTTGGTAAAGGCAGTAGGAAAAGCAAACAAACTTCATGTGTGGGAGGGGCAAAAAAAGGACAAAGCAAAAGAATTGGGAAAATAGAAGACATCCTTTTCTCATGAGCCTGCAAAAAACAGGCAGAAAATTCAGGTCTTGAATACCAAACTTTTTAACTTGCTATTTTATGCATTCAATTATGGTAACTGTTTTACATCCTTTGGCCTCAGCAGAATCTTCATGTCACCAAATATGAGAATGCTTATTTGGAACTGTTCCAACAGTTCAATACAAGACAATTCCTTCTTCCTACACCCCCTTCTCATCATACACTAAAGTACCACGCAATATCAACGGTGACAAAGTTAGAAATTTTGCTATGAATATTTAAGATTACTAATTTATAGGTATATAAAGTAGCATTTAACCTATATATACAATATACTTTTTTTTTTTTTGAAGGGGAGCCTTGTCGTAACTGGTAAAATTGATATTATGTAACCAGGAGGTCAAGAGTTTGAACCGTGAAAACATCTTCTTGTAGAAATACATGATAAGACTGTGTACAATAGATTCTTGCGGTCCAACCCTTACCTGGACCCCACGCATATCGACAACTTAGTGTACCGGGCTGGCTTACACAATATAGTTTTTTGACAAGGAATGTTCAATTGACCATTTTTCTTGAACTACCGGATATTGAATGATTATAAAAAAATTAATACTACAGCCAACTCCCTCCAAAAGTTAGTTGAACCCGTGTGTCCCGAATATTAGCAATGACAAAGTTAGAAATTTTGCTATGAATATTCAAGACTTAATTTTATAGATATAGAAAGTAACATTTAACCTATATATTACACAGTGGCGGCGCCAAAATTTTCGTTAAGGGGTGTCTAAATATATAAAAGTAAATATATCAAGAAATTAAGGGGTGTCAATGCATATTATATATACATATAATTTTTTTTTTACCTACCTTAACACAGTATATTTTTCTTGCGAAGGGGTTGTCATTTTGACAT